CTTTAGCTGTTCTCTTTGCATGTGCATACTGGGAACAGGCTCCAGCTGTTCATCTGCCTCACTGATGTCTGACTCTGAAGGAGGCTGATAACTGGCATACGGCTCTGCCTCCGGCACAGAGCCCTCATCAGAGCCTTCCCCAGACTCCAGGACTGGCCCATGTTCCTCCCCAACCTCCTCACTGTCTGAATCTGCTGCCAGCTCTGCTGGCTGCTCGCAGGCCACAATACTAGGGTGATCTCTTGTAATCACTGAGGGGCTTTTAAGAAGTCACTGGACAGCCATTTGTCTGAAATAGGGTCTCCTGCTTGAGTAGGAGGTTGGACTAGCAGACCTCTAGGGTCACTTCCAACTCTCTTATTGCAGTGATATTGCAGTCGCTGAATGGATGGCTGTACATTGAGGATTTGTAGTTGCTTTGCTAGCCAACCCAAAAGCCCAGAGTAAGATTGAAACATAGAATATTTTGCAAAGTCACTGTTTTGGGCTAACACTTCTGACCAGTTGATGTAGCTACAGTTTTGTCGGTTTTGAACCCCGATCTTAAAAACAAAACACTCCATCGATACACAGGACAGCCATTATTCTGAAATGGTATAGGTCAGGGTCTCCTGACGGGGGTTGGACTAGAAGACCTCCCAGGTCCCTTCTAACTTTGATGATAGCAATAGCAATAGCACAGATTTATATGCTGCTTCGTAGTGCTTTTACAGCCCCTCTGTGAGCGGTTTTAGAGAGTCAGCATATTGCCCCCCAACAATCATGATCTTTTATGTTCTCTTCTAAATTAAATTACGTACAATAGGTGCATTGAAGAGCAAAAGTATTGTGGTGTTTTCAAACAATTACTTTACAGTTGGGCATTGGCCATGTCTTTTCATTGATGGGTGCGTTCTAAAGAACTATCACTTACCGTATTTTTCGAACTATAAGACGCACCGGTGTATAAGACGTACCAAGATTTCAAAGTGGTAAGAAAAAAGGGTTTTTGTCCTCCATGGCCCCCAGATGCACTCTGAAGGCTTCAGCAGGGCCGGGGAAAGGAAAAAAATGCCAGTTTTTGCAAAAAACGGGTAGAAAATGGGCAATTTTTTGCAAAAACGGAGGGCATTTCCCCCTTCCTCCAGCACTGCTGAAGCCTGCAGAGTGCTTTTGGGGGTTGGAGGAAGGGAAGAACGCACTCTGTTTTAGTGAAAAATGGCTCATTTTCTGCCTATTTTTCCCAAAAATGGGATGCGGGGGTGGGGCTTCAGGAGGCCAAAAATGGCTGTATTCAGTGTATAATTCGTACCCACATTTCCACGCGGGAAAAAGGTGCGTCTTATACTCTGAAAAATACGGTATATTCTGTACAGGAAATACTCGATTTACAATTCCTTTTTAACTTTTTCTTGCCTAAGTGTATGACTTTACTTTTCTCTACCCTGAATTCCATTAGATCGGGCCCAGGGTTCAGGCCTGTCGTCACTTTGGAACGGTCACTAAGCAGATGGTCGTAAGTCCAGGATGACCTGCGCACCTTAAAAGGGAGGAGGATGTAATAAGGAAAGAACACTGGCCAAGGGCTGCTTGAAGAAAAAGATTTTTTTTTCCAGGTTTACTGCATTTCTGCAAAGCAATAAGTATTCCGGATAACATTTTAGGTTTGCAATTTACCATCTGGCTACTAATCTCACAATTTGAAGGACTTCAGGTGCTTGCCTTGCACCCAAGGGTGGTTTAGAACCTCTTCCACCCGTAGCCGGTGAGAAACGTCCGGCTGTAGCATGTGGAAGATCAGATCTTTGCATTCCAGGCTCAGAAACTCGGGAAAAAGGATCCGGTGTTCCTTCTGCAGGCGGAGCATCCGTTTAACGTTCGAGTCGTCGTACGGCATGAATCCAGATACCATGACGTACAGGATCACCCCTAGGCTCCACATGTCGTAAACTTTGGGATGGTAAGGAATCCCCTGGATCACCTCCGGAGCGGCGTATGCCGCCGAGCCGCAAAAGGTCTCGCTGGGGATGATTTTACCGTTCCCGTCTCGGAAACAGCGCTTGGAAAAGCCGAAATCTGACAGTTTGACGTTCATGTCCTTGTCAAGGAGGATATTGTCACATTTCAGGTCACGGTGGACCACGTCTAAATCGTGGCAGTATTTGACCGCACAGCAGAGCTGACGGAACATCCGGCATGCCACTTCTTCCGGCAGTCCGCGGTTGCTCTTAATAAACTCCAGTAAATCCCCCTGGATGCCAAGTTCCATCACGATGTAGACTTTCCCGGCCGTCTCGAAGATCTCGTAGATCTTGATGATGGAGCAGTGGTTCACGGTCGACAAGATCTCCAGCTCCCGAGGGAGAAATTTCTCCAAGAACTCGTTGGGCACTTTCCTCCGGTCAGTGATCTTCACCGCCACGTTGATTTTCAGCCGCTCCGAGTACGCCGACTTCACTTTGGCGAAGGAGCTCTCGCCCAAGGTGCTCCCCAAAATATAACCCTTTTTCTTAAGCACAGCAGCATCGTCCATGATGCCAAGGGTGGGGCGTGCCAACCTCCCATCGGAACCGTCATTTAGTGGCACATTCCTTGAGGTGGGGAGAGGACCATCTGAAGGGGCTCCAGGCTAGGCTGGGCTCAGGTCTCCCAGCAGTGTTTTGAAGAGGTGAAGTCATCAGGTGACATCATAAGAGCTTACTGTAACAGCATGGCCAAAAAGGCATGAAGAGTTGTTAACCTAATTTTGCGAAGCTTCTTCTCCGGTAACATTGTACTGCTAACTAGGGCTTACAAAACCTTTGCCAGACCAATCCTCGAATACATCTCATCTGCCTGGAATCCACAATGTATATCGGACATTAATACAATCGACCGGGTCCAGAAATATTTCACGAGAAGAGTCCTTCACTCCTCTGCTCACAATAGAATCCCTTACGTCGCCAGGTTCAAAATTTTGGGCTTGGACAACCTGAAACTACGCTGACTAAGATCTGACCTCAGCATTGTACAACAAAATTGTCTGCTATTGTCTCCTACCTGTTAGGAAATTTCTCATTAATTCCAGGTTGCTTCTCTCCTTGGTTAGTTTCGATCCATTG